GAGACTGGTTCTGGGCCAACATGGTGAAACCCCATCTTTAGATGAAAATACAAAAATGAAGGCGCGGATGTGGATGGGCTTGCCGCTGTAATCCCAGCTACTCGAGAGGCTGAATGTGGAGATTGCTGACTCTGGGGAGGAGAGGTTGCGCCGTGAGCTGAGATTGCGGCCGCTGCACTCCAGCCGAAGCAGGACGAGTGAACTCTGTCTAAAAAAAAAAAAAAAAAAAAATATTGGTTGGAAAGTTCAAGACTGAACAAGGTTTTTTTTTTTTTTTTAAATACAGAATCTCACTCTATTGCCCAGGCTAGAGTGCAATGGCATGATCTTGGCTGACTGCAACCTCCACCTCCCGGGTTGAAGCCATTCTCCTGCCTCAGCCTCCCAAGTAGCTGAGATTACAGGCGCCCACCACCGTGCCCAGCTAATTTTTGTACTTTTAGTAGAGACAGGGTTTCACCATGTTGGCCAGGCTGGTCTCAAACTCCTGGCCTCAGGTGATCCACCTGCCTCGGCCTCCCAAAGTGCTGGGATTACAGGTGTAAGCCACTGCGCCTGGCTGCTTGCTTCCCCTTTCTATCGTGTTCAACATGCACTGCTTTCCAGGGCACTCTCCATGTTAGCCCCACGAAATCCTGAGCACTGACCCCCTCGATCTGCTTGGCGCTACTGTAGTTGGGGTCTTTCCCCTAGTAACTACACACTCAAGGCTCCCTCTCAAACTCTCAAACCTTACAACTTCCCGCCTCCACCTCCCCCAGCACAGCTGGCTCAAAGGGCCCCAGGCTCAGATACCAAGCTCTGCTCACCTCCTTCTGGATTTCACTCTTGAGGGCGGAGATCTTCATCTTCATGTCCTCCAGCTCATGGTCTGGGAAGGGGTGCACCTGGGGGCTGGCCTCAGATTCCTCGGGGGACGGAAACACCAGGTCGGCCAGGGGAATGTACCACTTACAGTCATACTGCTGGTGCTTCCTGCAAATGAGCCAGAGGGAGCCATGAGCTAGAGGGAGCCTGGCTCTTCCAGCCTCAACTCCTGGGTCCAGAACCACAGAACCACTGACAGGGGGTTGACTGAGAACTTGCCAGAAGCAAGAGCGATCCCTGCTCCTGAGAAGCCTGACTAGGAAACACACACGTGGAGCACATGGAGTGATGAGAGCTGGGTTCTGGGGTCTGTCCCGCCTGCAGGGAGCAACTCCACCCCATCACCTTACCAGGCTTCTGGCCTAGACGATTCATGTTGTCAAACATCCCAAACCACTTGGGTATCAAGAAAAGCAAAGCCCTCCTGGCTGGGCTCACATTTTCCTATTCCCCACCCCACACTCCTCCCTCCCTTCTAGACTATCCACGTTCAATATCCTTCAGGCTAGCAATGGAATACAGGTGTTATTCCGAATGCCAACTCTTATCAAGAGAGGTCACATGGGTCAACACCGGGTGGAGGATTACAAAGCCACATCCAAGTCTAGCAAGAAAGCGTGCTCTGGTTGATTAGTAATGTCTGCCATGGCAAAGGATGACAGGCAGAGGCATGTGTGATTAGTAATGTCTGCCGCGGCAAAGGACAACAGGCAGAGGCATGTGTGCTTATTATTGCCATCTCTGCCTCAGAACAATCTCAAACATGATCTAGTTCCAGGGAGTCATGTCCTTTATTAGTATTTTTTAATTATTTTTATTTTGTGAGATGGAGTTTTGCTTTTGTCGCCCAGGCTGGAGTGCAATGGGGCAATCTCCACTCACTCCAACCTCTGCCTCCAGGGTTCAAGCAATTCTCCTACCTCAGCCTCCCGAGTAGCTGGGATGATAGCCGCCCGCCATCACACCCAGCTAATTTTTGTGCTTTCAGTAGAGACGGAGTTTCGCCATGTTGGCCAGGTTGGTCTCGAACTCCTGACCCCAGGTGATCCACCCGCCTTGGCCTCTCAAAGTGCTGAGATTACAGGTGTGAGCCACTGCGCCCGGCCAGTCATCCCTTTATTGAAGTTCATAATAATCAATCCTTCCTCTAAGACTTAGATTTGCGCTTCTCATTCTGACCCGAGTGTTGTGGTGGGTGCATGGCCTGCTACCCCTGTGCTATACTTGGGGGCACAGCCAGCCAGGGAGGGCTGAAGGGGAGAAGCAGGATAGCCTGGAGGTAAACGCACTAGCTTTGGCATCCCATAGACACGGGTTTGAATCCAGACTGTTGCTTCTCAGCTGGGAGAAGGGGTGTGCTTGGCACGTCGTAGGTGATCAGTAAGTGTGGGTGGAAGAATGTGTGAATGAACGCGGAATGAGCCTCTCTGCTCAAGGCACAGAGCCGACCCACATTACCGGGTAGAGAGGAGGAGGCACAAAGGAGCTTGCACGTTAGCTTGGGGTTCCAATCCCACCTGTGCCTCTAGCTGTGCAAGCTTGGGCAGCTTATTTACCTTCTCCAAGGCTCTTCTCTCATCTACGATAAGGGAACAATAGTCACTACTTTGTGGAGTTGTTGGGAGGACTAGAAATCACGTATTCAAAGGATGTGTCACAGCACCTGGCACGGCCTAAACCCTCAATAAATAGTAGCAGGAGACGTGGTGAATAGTCACAGCACTGCAGTTAGCAGAAATTCAGAGACGTCTAATAAAAAGAGAATGCTTAAGTAAACGATTGCACATCCACTGGTAACCGTGTAGGAAAGTAAAAGGATGATTATGATGATGAGGCAGCAACAGGGAAACTGCTTATGACACGAAATAGAAACAGCAGAGCCCCAAATTGGGCATTCGCTGTGATTATGACTGTGTGAAGAAACATGAGAACATTTAAAAACAGGGAAGGAAGCAGCGCGGCAGGAGGCGGACCTCATGCTTCAGTGGGGAACGGGGTTTCCTCCAATGTCCTTATATTATCTTTATAATTAAAAACATGACTTATTTTCAAAAAAAAAAAAAAGGCTATGTGGTGAAATTAGGTTAATTAATACAGTTTTTAAAAGGAAAAATCCGGCTGGGCACGGTGGCTCACACCTATAATCCCAGCACTTTGGGAGGCCAAGGCGGGCAGATCACCTGAGGTCAGGAGTTCGAGACCAGCCTGGCTGACATGGCAAAACCCCGTCTCTACTAAAAATGCAAAACTTAGCCAGGCGCGGTGGCGTGCACCTGTAATCCCAGCTACTCAGGAGGCTGAGGCAGGAGAATCACTTGAACCCGGGAGGTGGAGGTTGCAGTGAGCCAAGATCACACCACTGCACTCCAGCCTGAGCAACAGAGCAAGACCCTGTCTCAAAAGAAAAAAAAACCCACAAAGTTGCTGAAGCCTCCATGGGGGGCAGGGTCCGGCCCCCTTCCCCCAGCCCAAGTCCCTGGACTCACACTCATCACGAAAAGGCCCAGCTCCCTCCCTCGGCCCTGTGTCCCTGAACTCGCACTCTCACCCCGCAGAGGTCCGGCCCCCTCCCCATGTCTCTGGACTCACACTCACCCCGCAGAGGTCCGGCCCCACCCCCACCCCGTGTCCCTGGACCCACACTCACCCCGCAGACGTCTTCTTCAGCTTGGCACACAGGAGGACATCTGTAAAGAGGAAGACATGCCGCAGCTTCCGGGAGCTCTCCGACACTTCCACCAGGAAGCCGTCCTTCACCAGCTGTCGTGTCTGAGGGAGATGGCAGACCCCAGCCTGCTCAGAGGGGAGTGCGGCCGAGGGCCGAGCCTGCATGCGGGGGCACGGCCAGCCAGGGAGGGCTGAACCGAGGGGCGGCATCGCCTGTAACCCCTTAACCAAGGTGGGTCAAGCACTGCCTTCGGAGTCACACGGATGTGGGTTTGGATCCCGACAGGCTTCTCAGCTGTGATCTCAGGCGGCTCCCTGACCTCTCTGAATCCCAGTTCACCTGCTGTAAAGTGCGGATGATGATGTCTGCCTCCTAAGGTGACTCATCGAGATGGTGCGTGTACAACAGCACAGTGCCTGGCACATCAAGTGTGCGCAACGCACGGGGCTCTCCGCAGCTACCCCTGGTGCCCCCTGCCCAGGACAACCTGGTTTCTCCACCCTGGGGCACGTACATCCCGGCTTGCAATCCCTCCCGACCGCGGCAGAGAACTTCATCTAGTTCCGGCTCAACCGAGAGCTGAGACCCGCTCAGGCCTGTCTGCGCTACTCCTCCCTGGCTTCTCTAGCCCCCCTCACCCGGGACGAGACCTGGGTGGTCCAGCCTGGGGCTGCAGCCGTGTCCAGAAGGGACCTGCAGCCAACTCTAACTTGGGCTCTGGGTGGTTTCTGCTCCACGTGGGATTTCAAGAGTTCCAACCCCCGCTCAGAGCCAGGAGGCCGTCCCCATCTGTCCCAGCCTTTCCTGTATGATACGCGGTGTGACCTACGTCTGCTGTAACATGTAGGTGAGCGTATTCAAAGTATACAATTAAGATGACTGAGGCCAGATGCGGTGGCTCATGCCTGTCATCCCAGCACTTTGGGAGGCCGAGGCGGGCAGATCACCTGAGGTCAGGAGTTCGAGACCAGCCTGGCCAACATGGTAAAACCCCGTCTCTAGTAAAAATACAAAAATTAGCTGGGCGTGGTGACACCTGCCTGTAATCCCAGCTAGGAGTTTGGGAGGCTGAGGCAGGAGATTTGCTTGAACCCAGAGGGTGGAGGTTGCAGTGAGCTGAGATTGCGCCATTGCACCCCAGCCTGGGCAACACAGTGAGACTCAGTCTCAAAAAAAAAGATGACCATTGGCCGGGCGTGGTGGCTCACGCCTGTAATCCCAGCACTTTGGGAGGCTGAGGTGGGCAGATCATGAGGTCAGGAGATGGAGACCATCCTGGCTAACATGGTGAAACCCCATCTCTACTAAAAATACAAAAAATTAGCTGGGCGTGGTGGCGGGCGCCTGTAGTCCCAGCTACTCAGGAGGCTGAGGCAGGAGAATGGCATGAACCCGGGAGGTGGAGCTTGCAGTGAGCCGAGATCGCGCCACTGCACTCCAGCTTGGGCGACAGAGCGAGACTCCGTCAAAAAAAAGAAAAAAAGATGACCAAAAACTGAGGGTACGCTAAGGCTGAGCCCTCTGGAGATTTTTCAGATATCCCCAGAGTAAAAGAGACGAGGGCATCCCCGGACACTGCCCCAGGAGCTGCAGAGGATCGGCTCTCTGCCCAGTGGACACTCTCCAGGCCTGTCCCTCACCACTTTCTCCCCAGGAGAACCTGGGGGCTCGTAAACAGACCAGAGGAGCAGAAACCCCGTCAGCCTCACTCCTAATGGCCTCCCCCGGACAGGAAGCCTTTCACCTGTGCCCAGATGCCAACCCAAGAGGGCAACGGTCCCTCTCATGCTTCCTGGTACTCCTCTCACTGGGCCGTCCCCACCCTTCCACCAAGAAGGGCCCCCGGGGAATGGCTGTCCCACATGCAGGTGCCCGCTGGACATTCCAGCAACCTGGACGGCCTCTGTCACCTCCAGCACCAGCTTTTCCTGCTGCGGGCTCCCCCCAAGCTACTGCTCGTGCAGGCCCAGCTGAAACAGCTCCAAGCTCCTGCTCCCTTCGCTTCCCAGGGGACGCTGACGGCATCACACTGGCAGAGGGAGGTGTCTGCATTCAAGACCCAGGCACCCAGAGGCCGGCTTCCCCGGCATGGGGGAGAACGCATGGAGCCTCCAGACAGCCCCGGGCGAGGAATCCAGCTCTGATACCTGGGGCTGAAAGAGCGTGTGGTGAACCTGGAGAGACTCCCTGGCCTCACGTTCTTCTTCTGGCTCACTGGATTGTTATTATTGAGACGGCGTCTCACTCTATCGCCAAGGCTAGAGTGCAGTGGTGCCATCTTGGCTCACTGTAACCTCCGCCTCCCAAGTTCCAGCAATTCTCCTGCCTCAGCCTCCTGAGTAGCTGGGATTACAGGCACGCACCACCATGCCCGGCTAATTTTTTTATTTTTAGTAAAGGCGGGGCTTTGTTGGCCAGGCTGGTCTCGAACTCCTGATCTCAAGTGATCCACCCACCTCGGCCTCCCAAAGTGCTGGGATTACAGGTGTGAGCCACCGCGCCCGGCCTCCCTAGATTATTATAAGGATTAATGAGACACTGGACTTAAAAATCTCTCAGCCTAGGGCCTGGAATGCTGCAGGTCATCAGGGTGACCAAGAACTGAAGACCTCTCCTTGGCTGGGAATGGGGAATCAGGGCTGGAGAGGCATGGGGCACCCAGCACCACCTGTGTGTGAGAGAAGGGGACGAGGGATCTGCCGCCCGTGTGTGAGAGAAGGGCACGAGGGATCTGCCGCCCGTGAGAGAAGGGGACGAGGGATCTGCCGCCCGTGTGTTGAGAGAAGGGGACGAGGGATCTGCCCCCCGTGTGTGAGAGAAGGGGACGAGGGATCTGCCGCCCGTGAGAGAAGGGGACGAGGGATCTGCCGCCCGTGTGAGAGAGAAGGGGACGAGGGATCTGCCGCCTGTGTGTGAGAGAAGGGGACGAGGGATCTGCCGCCCGTGTGTTGAGAGAAGGGGACGAGCGATCTGCCGCCCGTGTGTGAGAGAAGGGGACGAGGGATCTGGCCCACCCCATACTTCTCAGCCTGGGTGAGGGGCCGTGCTGGGCCCTGAGCTCACCTCCCCCTTGGGTGTTGTGACCGCAGTGCGGCGGGGGTCGATGTCCTCGTTGATGCTGGATAGGAAGTTCTGGGAGATGCGGAGCGCATCCTGCAGCAGTGGGTAGTCAGGGTGGTCCACAGGCGTGTGCTTCAGCAGGTCCTGGGAAGGGAGAGGCAGTGAGTTGAGGGGAGCAGCTCTGGGGCCCGATGTGTGGCCACAGGGGAGTGCTCAGTCCCCACCCAAAGAATCCAAAGGATGGGCACTCAGGCACCCACCTAATTCCTGAAAAATCTGAACTACAAATCAGAGTCAGGCGGGGTGCAGTGGCTCATGCCTGAAATCCCAGTACTTTGGGAGGCCGAGGTGGGGGATCACTTGAGATCAGGAGTTCGAGACCAGCCTGGGCAACACGGTGAAACCCCATCTCTAGTAAAAATATAAAAATTAGCCGGGCATGGTGGCGGGCACCTGTAGTCCCAGCTACTCAGGAGGCTGAGGCAGGAGAATCGCTTGAACCTGGGAGGCGGAGCTTGCAGTGAGCTGAGATCGTGCCACTGCACTCCAGCCTGGGTGACAGTAAAAATAAAAAACAAAAAAATAAAAATAAAAAGAAGAGCCAGTGCAGCAGGTGGAGGGCCCTGGCTGCTCCCTCTTCTCCCGGTTACAGTCATTATTCTTTCCCCGGTGGGGAGGCCAGGTGGAGGCTCATCCCCCTGAACAGCTGGGAGAGAAACCGAAGGCCAGGTGGAGGCTCATCCCCCTGAACAGCTGGGAGAGAAACCGAAGGCCAGGTGGAGGCTCATCCCCCTGAGCAGCTGGGAGAGAAACTGAAGGCCAGGTGGAGGCTCATCCCCTGAACAGCTGGGAGAGAAACCCGTGTCCGCCCTGCAGCTGCTCCAAGGATGCTGGAGACCAGGAGGCAGCGGGTGGGGAAGCAGGAAGTGCCTGCCTCCCGGGGAGCACCTGGCCAGTGTCAAGCTTAGTAGCCAAACTGTATTCAGGCCCTGGCCTGGTGGCATGGATACTACAGGCCAGAAAGGCATCCTCCGGGCCTAGGGACCCCTGATTCCCCACGTGGGCTGTTCTCAGTGACTCCAGCACCCTCTCACCCCAGACTCAGTCTTCCACCGCACTCCTAAGCCCTCTCTGGCCATTCAGGGGCTTGACACTTACGTGTAGGACTAAGGTGCTCCGAGTGACCCGGTCAATGGGCTTGTAGAGCAGAGCTGTTTGGGAGATAGGGAGGAGGAGGAAGAGGATGATGGACAAGGGCAACCCAGCACCCCAGAGACCAGCGTCGTCCCCCACCCGCCTGCTTCCCATGTGAACACCCCTCGCGGGATGCCAGAGTGAGCCCATGGCAGCCCCCACCTCTGTTCTCACTCCCCAGGCAGACCAAGCAGCGGACACTGCCCTGGCAGCCCCAGCTCCCTCTCCAGCCCTGCCTCCTCTCCAATCAGATGTGGCTTCCTCGAGAGCCACGTGCCCCCCCCAAGGCCTGTCCTGGCCTCACCTGGCTCAAGGCAGATGCTCCCCTGGACCTCCAGCCCTGAATCACACAGCTCCACCCAGCGACACCCTGCAGAGTCCAGCATACCTGCCACACGCAGCACCCCAGAATCACACAGCTCCACCCAGCCACGCCCTGCAGAGTCCAGCACACCTGCCACACGCAGGACCCCAGAACGGGGAAGGAGACATTCTGTGTTTCTAGGAAGGGCAGCTCTCCAGACCTTATCATTCTCAGGCTCCTGCAGCTGAAGGCTGGGCACAGACAGCTGGGATTGGCATGCCTCACTGTGACCCACAGGACTGGCCTCATCTCTCAGAGGAAAGACCCCTCCCCACATCCTCAAACCCCAGAGCAAGCACAGGAAGGCTGGAGGCCAGGGAGGCTGGAGGCAGGGAGGCTGGAGGCCAGGGAGGCAGGGAGGCTGGAGGCCAGGGAGGCTGGAGGTCAGGGAGGCCGGAAGTCAGGGAGGCTGGAGGCTAGAGGCAGGGAGGCTGGAGGCCAGGGAGGCTGGCCTGATCTCCACAGAAAGGCTCTGCTCTCCGAGGCTAGCCTGGTCAACACAGTGAAACCCTGTCTCTACTAAAAACACAAAAAGTAGCCAGGCATGGTGGCACACACCTATAATCCCAGCTACTTGGGAGGCTGAGGCAGGAGAGTCACTTGAACCCGGGAGGTGGAGATGATAGCGAACCAAGATCGCGCCACTGCACTCCAGCCTGGGCAACAACAGCGAAACTCCGTCTCAAAAAAAAAAAAGAAGGCCGGGCGCGGTGGCTCAAGCCTGTAATCCCAGCACTTTGGGAGGCCGAGACGGGTGGATCACGAGGTCAGGAGATCGAGACCATCCTGGCAAACACGGTGAAACCCCGTCTCTACTAAAAAATACAAAAAACTAGCCGGGCGCGGTGGCGGGCGCCTGTAGTCTCAGCTACTCGGGAGGCTGAGGCAGGAGAATGGCGAGAACCTGGGAGGCGGAGCTTGTAGTGAGCTGAGATCCGGCCACTGCACTCCAGCCTGAAAAAAAAAAAAAAAAAGAAGAAAAGAAAGGCTGTGCTCTCAACACGTGGCAGCCCGAGGGGCAAAGTTTTCCTGAAGCAACTCAAGTTAGGCCTCACATATGAGAGCCCCAAAGAGGCTGGGAGAACCCAGGCAAGACCAGTCCAGGACCCCAAGGGCCACACCCTCCACAACCCAGACACCAAGTGAGGATGGCTGGGATTCAGCAGGGACAGGTAGAGGTGACAGCTGGTGGATCAATACTTCCCAACGCCCTTCCTGCAGGCAGCTGTGCCTGCCCTCCCAGCAGGAGGCTCAGCTTCAGTTCTGCACCTGGATGCTCTGTCCCTGGGGTCAGGACCTTGGGCCTCCTGCCACAGGGGCAGTGAGAGAGGCATGGTGTTCATCTGGGAAGAAGGATCCCACACTGGGTGTCCCATAGGACCAGGATGTGACAGGTCCCAGCGTGAACACGCATGCCCTAGCCGGGCCCCAAACCTAAGAGTTCTCCACAGCCTGAGATATAAATATCCCGTGCGCGGCTAAGCAGACACTTCAGGGAGCAATCTGCTGGCTGTGAAGAAAACGCAGCCTCAGCAGGGGCCACCAGCCTTATCTGCAGTCCGAGCTTGGCTGCCCATCAGAATGACTAGGGGAGCTGTTAAAAGATACACATGCCTGCCCCCAGCCCCGTCAACTCAACCCAAATCTCCGCAAGACCACACGGGGCACGAGCATTTTTTAAAAAGCTTCTTTACTGATTTGAATGTATAATAGTGGTTGAAAACCACTGCTTTGTATTTTATGTATTTTAATTTTTTAAAAAAATAGAGAGATGAGGGGCCGGGTGCAGTGGCTCACGCCTGTAATCCCAGCACTTTGGGAGGCTGAAGCGGGTGAGTCACTTGAGGTCAGGAGTTCAGGAACAGCCTGGCCAACATGGCAAAAACGCGTCTCTACTAAAAATAAAAAAATTAGCAGGGCCTGGTGGCAGGTGCTTATAATCCCAGCTACTTGGGAAGCTGAGGCAAGGGAATCTCTTGAATCCGGGAGGCGGAAGTTGCAGTGAGCTGAGGTCGTGCCACTGCACTCCAGCCTGGCAACAGAGCGAGACAGGAAGGAAGAAAGTAGGGAGGGAGGAAAAGAAGGAAGGAAGAAAGGGACGGAGGGAGGGAGGGAGGGAAGGAAGGAAGGAAGGAAGGAAGGGAGGAAGGAAGGGAGGGAGGGAGGGAGGGAGGGAGGGAAGGAAGGAAGGGAGGGAGGGAGGGAGGGGGGGGGGGGGGGGGGGGGGGGGGAGGGAGGGAGGGACGGAGGGAGGGAGGGAGGGAGGGAGGGAGGACAGCGAGCGACAAGGTCTCACTATGTTGCTGGTCTTGAACTCCTGGCCTCAAGCAATCCTCCTGCCTCAGTTTGCCAAAATGTTGGGATTGCAGGCATGAGCCACCATACCCGGCCAACCACTGGTTTACGTAAATACACTTCACATGACACATCTGTAGCCCTTTCTTATCTAGCAATTTCCAGAGACCCTCCCCATGGGCCATGGAAGCTTGAAGGAATGAGGCCAGTCTTGGAGTGTCCTGGGGCACTGAGGGTACAGCCCAGGTCCTCGCTCAGGTGGGTCCATTTCTGAGGCTGTTTAAGGCACCCACCTGTGGCTCAGCCCATCTTCGGGGGAAAAAATCACACTCGAGAATCCCAGAGACCCAAAAGAAAGCACAGGCTCAGCAGACACCTGCCGGAGGGGGCCCCAGAGCGGCAGCTCGACAGAAAGCCGACACTGCATTATTGGCTCCCCGCAGCCCTCTCCGGGGTCCCAGGAGGAAGAGGTTTCTGACTGAGCTCAGAGGTCTGCACACGTGGCAGGCTGGGTTTCAGAGGGGTTATTAATATGCCTGTGGTCACCTCCAGAGTCCACCTGAGCAGTGCTGCGGAATGGGCCCCGGGAGGGCGGCCAGGAGGACAGGTGCACAGGGAGGGGGGGCTGGGACGACGTCAGATACAGAGGGAACCAGGGGAGCAAGAGCGGCCCTGAAGTTTGTGCTCCCCACGGCCCCTGCACGCCAGGGTCCCCTGAGAACTCAGGGGGAGGCGCTCGCTCTGACCCTTCTCCGTCCCCAGGCTCAGGCAGGCTGGCCTGCTTCCTGCCCGGTCTCACCCACTCTCCCCACCCCTCTCCACTGACTTGGGCGGCAAGCTGGTCTCGCTCTAGTTTGCTGGGTACTCGCTGTGTGCCCAGGGTACTGAGTTAACTGCTTTGCTCACGTTATTTCCTGTGATTAAAGAGGGAGGAAATTCTCACTAGCCCCATTTTACAGACAAGACAACTGAGGCCAGAGACGTTCTGTGGTTTGTTCCCCATCACCAAGCTACAAGTGGTGGGAGCTGGGCTTTGAACGCAGATCCACTCATGCTCCTGGCTTTGAGCTGCCCCTTCCTCAGGGGAGGGCAGCACCTGTAAAATCTCAATGACCCACAGGAGGGTTCTTGGGAAGAGTGACCAGGATGGGGTGAGCCCCCTCCTCACAAGCTGGCCCTTTCACTCCTCATTCCCCACTTTGAAGCTGACTTCAACAACAGTATCACGGAGACCGAAGCAGCGTGAACTCCAGGTCCCGGGTCGAAGCCTCCTTTTAGGGAAGAGAGAGGAAGCCAAGGCTACATTTCCTTTTCAGGGAGGCAGAGTCGAAACCTGACCAACCCCTAGGCCAGATCAAAAAGACCATTTCGCCTCCGATCGCTGACCAGGCCAATTTCAAGTGAGAACAGGGTTGCCGCGGCCATCCTGCCGGGCCGCAGGAGACAGACTGCCTCAGAGCTTGCTTCCCTCAAGAGGGTCCCGAGAAGATCAAGGGACAGTGGCCCCACACAGCCCCTCCACCACGGCCGCCTCTGGGAAGGAGCCCAGGAAACCTACCATCTCTCCTCCGCAAGCTGCCACCCCCCTCACGTCAGCCTTCGACAAGGAGCTCCAAGGAGCTCCGGGTTACCAGGGAGATAGGAAGGGAAAGTGACTGAGAAGGGGGCAGAGCCGAAACACCTGGTGGGAAGGAAGAGGAAGGTCCTAAAACCAGCCGCCCGCTGCTCCCACAGACTCTGGCCTGGGAGCCACACGTGCCCACCCCACTGCCTGCCACAGGCAGGCGGGGCACCCCTTGGCACGCCTCGCCTCTTGGGGCAGGGTCCACGGGCTTCTGGACACCTTCCTGCCTGGGCCGGCTTCATCCTCCTATGACCAACAGTCGTGCTGATGACATGCACCTGTCCCGGGACCTCCCCCATCCCCCCAGCCAGCTTCGGGAGCTGCAAGGAGGATGGTCTGGGTTCCTTCCACCGAAAGGTGGGGTGTGTGTGACCTTCACAAAGCAGCTTGCCACACCCCCTCTCCCGCTGGCACTGCCGGCCTGCCTTCCACAGTTAAGGACCCAGACCTGGCTCCGGTGTCTTTCATGGCTGAAAACAAACCTCTCAGCTCCTTCCTGCTCCCGCAGCCCCTCCGTGTCCTCCGCCTGCTGCTCCGAGAGCTGGCAGCATGTGCACTGGAGCACACAATGCCCTGCCGCCCAGCCTCCGCTCCTCTCTCCACAAACAAAGAAACTCCCAACTTCTCCCTCCGGCTCGCACTGGCGCCCTGTCGGCTGGCAACGCCACCATCCGGACCATCACCACCCATGGCCACGCTGTGCCTGGCCCCCACAGACCCTCTCCCTGGCCTCAGGGCTACTACGTCTGCGAGCACAGCTCCTCGCCCTCTCTCCCTAACAGCCCCTCCAGGAAGTTCTCTCACACTAGCCCACCAATTCCCCGCCGATCCTCGAGGGCACCTGGCCCTCCAGCCTGGTCCTTCCATTTGCAAATGGCCCTGCCCTGAGCAGCCCCCAGGTTTCAACTCTAGGCTGGACGCCGGCGGAAACGAAGGGGGAATTCAGGTCCAGCCACTTGCCCGCCCTCCTTCCCTGCGGCCCTCAAACCTCGCCAGACACATTTGAGCCCACTCCAGCCGGCCCCCAGAGGTGGAAGGGTCCGCCGCCTCCCACAGCGGGCACCTGGGTTACCATAGGTGCAGTTACAGCAGAAGCGAATAATGAGGAGAATCTCCATGGCAGCCTCTGTCCCCGCAGCGGGAGCGTGCAGCCATCGCTCCGGGCTCCCCGGCGCCCACCAGCAGCCCGGCCACTCAGCCCCCTTGCTGATGCCGCCGCACAGACTCCAGCATCGAGCAGCCGCTTCCGAGTGCTCTTCCAGCAAGAGGGAGGGGAGGGAGGCGCGTGGCGAGGAGAGGAGGGAAGGGGAAGGGGAGGAGGGGCGGGGAGGGAGGGACCCAGCGGCCTGCTGGCATCCTGAAGAGGAGCACGTTTGTAGCTGGCTGGCTGCCTGGGCACAAGGCTGGAGTCCTCGCGTGCGCGCACACACTCACACGCGCTCACACTCACGCGCGCTCACACTCACACGTGCACATGGGGGAAGGGCGCTGCGTTCACGCAGCCCGTCGCCCACACAGCCAGACAAAGGCAGGTGCCGGTAATCCAGCCCGCTCCCCGAGGTACCTTCCATGGTGACGGACGTGTGGCTGTCCTTGGAGTCCTTGGGACCTTTCACTTTGAGTTCCTGCCAGAGGGAGGAGAGGAGTCACGGCCTGCTCCGTCCCTCACCGCCCCCAGCCCCTACCGTGAGCCTGGCAGGAAGGGGGGCTGTGAGACTCGGGGTGCAAGGATGAGAACAGAGGCTGGGCGCGGCGGCTCACGCCTGTCATCCCAGCGCTTTGGGAGGCTGAAGCAGGCGGATCAACTGAGGTCCGGAGTTCGAGACCAGCCTGGCCAACATGGTGAAACCCCGTCTCTACTAATAATACAAAAGTTAGCCAGGTGTGGTGGCACAAGCCTGTAGTCCCAGCTACTCGGGAGGCTGAGGCAGGAGAATCGCTTGAACCCGGGAGGCAGAGGTTGCAGTGAGCTGAGATCGCACCACTGTACTCCAGCCTGGGCAACAGAGTGAGATTCCGTCTCAAAAAAAAAAAAAAAAAAGAGAACAGAGACAAAGGAGCCCCACGGCCATTGGCTGCCTCTGCAAACCCCAATCCCCCGCACCGCACCTGTGAACTCCTGGAGCCTCGTGGAGTCCAGTGGCTGGGGTGTGGGCAAGAAGGAAGGGACTCCAGGTCCCAGAGATGAGAGGGGCTGGCAGGGAGCCCCGTGATTACAGGAAACCCATCTCAGGAACCCCAACTCAGGAACCCTACACATCGGCCAAGGGCAGACAGGGTTTGAGCTGACCAGCGCCAGGTACTCCAGCAGCTCTTTTGGGCATCAGCAACCCGTGAGGTAGGAAGGAGGGGTCCCACACGCCTGCGCAGTGGAAGCAGGGAAGTGGTGGATCTGCGGCAGAGACGCGGAGCTCCCCAGGACAGTGAGCTGCATCCTGCCCCCATCAGAGAGCACTCAGCTCCCAGCACCCCCGACACTCCCCACCCACCACTGCCTGTGCTGGGGGCCCGAGAGGAAGCTTTGAGGGAGGAAGAGCCAATGCCACTCCTGGACCCCAAGCCAGGCGACAGGTAGTGAGTACTGGAAACAGACCCCAGGAATGACTTGTCTGCTCCAAGCCTCTTCATCCTCCTTTAGAGAGGTTCCAGCCCCAGCTTCTGCTAGCAGGACAGTGCAGCCTGCAACCGGAGCTGTAATACCATCCTCACTTGGCAGACCGCGCACACGGAGCCTCAAAGAGGGGTGTGGGGGGGAAGGCAGGGGGCAAGGTGAGGCCAAGGTCAGGGGCTCAGGTGATGTCACCTGCTCGGCCTACAGGGAAGGAAGCGCCCAGACAGCAGGAACTTCCTACTTTGTCTCAAGCTGTTTCCAGACAGAGAAAACTCCCAGAGAGTGAGCTTGGGTGCGTGTGTATTTTGGGGGGCGGGGGGTGGGGCTACTCAGCGTCCCTAGGCTGTGTCTCTGGCTGGTGCCTGGATTCCCAGATTTCGGGACTTTTTCCTCACGCCCCCCTCCGGTGAAGCCCAGGGGTGTGAAATCACTCCTGCTGCAGAGAGGAGCCCAATTGCAGTAATTAAGTGGCAGCGCCAGCAGGAAGCAAGGACGTCATCGAGTGAGTCAGGATGAGAAGCCACCTGGCAGAAAGCCAGGGGCCTGGCTCTGCCCTCTGGGGTGGGCAGGCTTTGAGGGGCTTACGGTTGGGTGTGGGGGTTTCTGCCTATGCACAGGGAACAGGCAGTCAGCCCAGGCCAAGAGAAGACCCCACACCCTCTGCACTGTATCTGACCCTGGGTTCTTGGGCAGCCTTGGCAGGGCTGCTCTGAACACAGACCAGAGGAGTCCAGGTAGTTCCCGGGTGGGGCTGGAAATCGTGAAGGAAGCACCCTTTCTCCAGCCCCTTTCATTTGTATTTGTAATAGAGACGGGGTTTCACCATGTTGCCCAGGCCGGTCTCGAACTCCTGGACTCAAGCCAATCTCCCGCCTCGGCCTCCCAAAGTGCTGGGATTACAGGCGTGAGCCACCGCGCCCGGCCTCTCCAGCCTCTTGACTCCATGGAGAGGGACTTCCCCAGCCTGCACTTTGTCCTCCCAGGCAGAGGGTGACTCATCTGCTCCATGGGTCTGGGAGAAGAAACTGTGGTCAGCCGTCCTCTCTCTGCACACTGGGTGAGAGGCGTGGGCTCTGTCCTCGTTGTTGTGGGGTGGGGGGGCAGCCTGTGGTTTCCTACTCCTGCAAGGGACTCCATAGATACTTTTTCTCAGACAGGGTCTTGCGCTGTCGCCAGACTGGAGTGCAGTGGTGCGATCTCAGCTCACTGCAACCTCCACCTCTCAGGTTCAAGCGATTCTCCTGTCTCAGCCTCCCAAGTAGCTGGGATTACAGGTGTATGCCACCACGCCTGGCTCATTTTTGTATTTTTAGTAGAGATGGGATTTTGCCACGTTGGCCAGGCTGGTCTCAAACTCCTGACCTCTGGTAATCTGCCTGCCTCGGCCTCCCAAAGTGCTGGGATTACAGGTGTGAGCCACCGCGCCCGGCCTCAACAGATAATTTCATTCCAGAGGTGAACTGCCAGCAAGCTCACTGTGGCTACAGACACAAATCCACACTTTCCAAGCTGCATTTTAATAGTGATGAAGCTGACATGTTCATCTCCACCTGTCAGCTCCTCTGCTGCCTCTCGGTGGATTCTAAACGTAGGCATCGCCCGTCACCCCTGAAGTTTCAGGAAAACGATCCTGCATTTCCCCAACTCTTCTAGTGTTAGAGTTGAGATGGGGACACAAAGGGCCAAGAGGGGCCTTTAAGGCAGGACTCCCAAAACTGCAGAAGCCTCTCCCCCTTTCTAGGATGGAGGTTCTCTTTTCCTGAACTGGGGGCTGTTCCTGCAAGGCCAGTGCTTTAGGGGTGTCACTGAGGTCTTTCTGGACAAAGGGATGAACTGGGCTCTGTCCTGAAGGATCCTAAGCAACCGTCCCCTCCACGCCAGTTGATGGCAGATGTGACTGCACCTCTGCCCTGCAGAGGAGTGCAGGAGGAAGGCTGGGCCGCAGGAGAAGAAGCACGCGTGTTCCCGGCCAGGAAGGCTGGACCGCAGGGGCAGAAGCACGCGTGTTCCCGGCCAGGAAGGCTGGGCCACAGGAGCAGAAGCACGCATGTTCCCGGCCAGGAAGGCTGGGCCACAGGAGCAGAAGCACGCGTGTTCCCGGCCAGGAAGGCTGGGCCACAGGAGCAGAAGCACGCGTGTTCCCGGCCAGGAAGGCTGGGCCGAAGGGGCAGGAGCACATGTGTTCCCGGCCAGGGAGTGCGGGAGGAAGGCTGGGCTGAAGGGGCAGAAGCACACGTGTTCCCGGCCAGGAAGGCTGGGCCGAAGGGGCAGGAGCACGTGTGTTCCCGGCCAGGGAGTGCGGGAGGAAGGCTGGGCTGCAGGGGCAGGAGCACGCATGTTCTGGGCCAGGAAGGCTGGGCTACAGGAACACGTGTGCTTCCAGACAGGGAGTGCGGGAGGAAGACTGGACCACAGGGGCAGAAGCACGTGTGTTCCCGGCCAGGGAGTGCGGGAGGAAGGCTGGGCCGAAGGGGCAGGAGCACGCATGTTCTGGGCCAGGAAGGCTGGGCTACAGGAACACGTGTGCTTCCAGACAGGGAGTGCGGGAGGAAGACTGGGCCACAGGAGCAGAAGCACGCGTGTTCCTGGCCAGGGATTTCAAGGCTCCTTCTCCACATAAGCGGCTCTTGCCCTCTCTGTGTTTACGGGATTGTAGTCTTGCTAGAGTTGGCAACACCCTTAAAAGACGACCTATAGTCCGAATTTCCTTAAGTATTCACTATCATAAAAATCACCCAGAAGCTTGTTCAAATACAAAATCTTGGGCCCCACCCAAAGCCTTCTGAATCAGAAACTCCAGGGAAGGTGCCTGAAAAATCTGTTTTAAACAGTGCCCCAGTGATTCTTATCAAGCAAGGTTAGGATTAGCTGGCCACGCCGGGCTCAGTGGCTCACACCTGTAATGTCAGCACTTCGGGAGGCTGAGACGGGCAGATCAACCCGAGTCTGAGACCAACCTGGCCAACACGGCAAAACCTCATCTCTACTAAAAATACAAAAATTAGCCGGGCATGGTGGTGGGCACCTGTAATCCCAGCTACTTGGGAGGTTGAGGCAGGAGAATCACTTGAACCCAGGGGGTGGAGATTGTAGTGAACTGAGATTGCACCACTGCACTCCAGCCTGGGTGACAGAGCAAGACTCTGTCTTAGGGGAAAAAAAAAAAAAAAAAGGATTATCTGGCCAAGTCTAAACCCCTCATTCTACAGCACAGGAAATAAAAGCCAAGAGGGGGGACGTGACTTGCTCAAGGTCACTACAGTGTGGTGTGGGAGAACACTGCCTTGATTTTTTTTGGTTTTTTTGTTTTGTTTTTGCCTCCCCTGTTCCTCTCTCTAACCTGAAAAAGAATAATAAAAAAATAAATAAAATAGATCATTTTCTATTAAGAGGGAAAATGTCAGGTGCAGGAAAGCAAATATCAGGCTAAGTGTTACCCATTACAGTAACCGCTTCACCGACGGGCACGCGAGGGAGGGGAGACCCAAGGGCTGCAGGGTTCTGAGCAGCCTCCAAAACCCTGTGTCCGTCAGGGCGGCTGTGCAGGGAGCTGCCTACCTCTGAGATCTTCTGGAACTGGTTGTTGGACTGGCTGCACTTCTCGGCTGTCTCCAGAGCGACTTTATAGTTATCCACAAATGCTTTGTACACGCCGAGCTGGCTGGCCTGCAGGGAGGAGTCAGGGAACAGAGGGAGAGGAGGGTGGGAGGGGAGAGGATTAATGAATGGATGAACGCTTCAGAGTACCTGGAGCTCCCGTGCCCTGAAAACCTCTCAGCTCCAGAGGGCTCGCTGGGAACTCCGGGAAACGCAGGGATGAACATATTACAGTGCCCCTTTGAACTGGACGGTTTCCATGGAAACCAGCTCGGCCAATAAGGTTCACCAGGGGGTCTGGGGTTGGGGAGACCAGGCTAGCGCCTTTGTCGGCCTGCTAGAAATTCAACTCCTCACAGCATCCAGCTTTCCTCAGCACCATCAAGGTCTCCCAGGGTTTGAAATCCCTTAATGTCTCATACTTCCTTCACATCCGGGAATTAGCTGGAGCAGGGAGAGAGGGGTGTGTGTGTGCTGGGTGGAGCTGGCACGTGTGGCCTGCTCAGGCCTCCCTCCCCATGTGGAGCATGGCGCATGGCATTTAAAGGTGCAGTCTTGGCCGGGTGCGGTGGCTCACGCCTGTAATCCCAGCACTTTGGGAGGCCTGAGGTCAGGAGTTCCAGACCAGCCTGGCCAACATGGTGAAACCCTATCTCTACTAAAAATACAAAAATTAGCCAGGCGTGGTGGTGCGTGCCTGTAATCCCAGCTACT